GATGTGAGGCAGGCGGCGCCGCCGGCCTCTTTCTGCTGCTGCCGCGGAGCTGAGGTGAGACCGGGCACGGCTGGGGCGGGACCGGAACCGGAACCGGGGCCAGGCTTGAGGGAGGCGGAACCGGAACCGGAGCCGCGGCGGGGCCCAGGCCGCGGCCTTGGGAGACGAACCGGGGACGGGGGGAGTGTGGGGGGGGGGAAAGCCGCGGGGCGCGCTCTGCGCATGCGTAAGGGACGGAGGCTGCGCCTCATTGGCGGAGGGCGGCCCCGCGCATGCGTAGAGAGGGGCGGGGCGGTCCAACACGTGTCTGGGGGGGGTCAGCCAATGGTATTGACCCAATAGGGGGTCCCCTTAATGCTATGGCCCAGTGGGGGGGTTTCTCTCAATGGTCTCACCAATTGGGGGAGTCCCCTTAATGCTATGGCCCAATAGGGGGCTCCCTCTCAATGGTATCACCCAATGGGGGGTCCCTCTCAACGGTATTGACCCAATGGGGGTGTCCTATTCAGTGCTATGGCCCAATGGGGGGCTCCCTCTCAATGGTATTGACCCAATGGGGGGGGTCTTCTTAATGTTATGGCCCAATGGGGGGGTCCCTCTCAATGGTAGCACCCAATGGGGGGATCCCCCTCAATGCTATGACCCAATGGGGTGTCCCCTCCATGGCCTTGCCCAATGGGGATCCCCGTTGCAGGCCCCGCCCCCACGATGCCGGTCGCCCGGAGCTGGGTTTGCCGCAAAACCTACGTGACCCCGCGGCGACCTTTCGAGAAATCCCGCTTGGACCAGGAGCTGAAGCTCATCGGTGAGGGGGAGGGGCTCCCCGACCCCCCTTGTCCTGCCCAGCCCCCCCCTTGTCCTGCCCATCCCCCCTTTTCCTTCCCTTTTCCCCCTTCCCTTTTCCATCCCTTTCCTTCTCTTTCGTTTTCCCTTCCCTTTTCCCCCATTCTCTTCATTTCCTTTCTGTTCCTTCCTTTCCCATTCCCATTCTCCCATTGAGATCCCATTGAGATCCCATTGTGATCCTGTTGTGATCCCAGGGGAACAAGCGCGAGGTCTGGCGCATCAAGTTCCCTTGCCCCATCCCCATTATCCCATAGCGATCCCACAGTGATCCCATAGTGATCCCATTGCTGTTCCCCCATTGTTCCCCATTGTTATCCCATTGTTCCCCTGCTGTTATCCCATTGTTCCCCATTGTTATCCCATTACCCCCAGGTGAGTACGGGCTGCGGAACAAGCGCGAGGTCTGGCGCGTCAAGTTCCCTTGCCCCATCCCCATTACCCCATAGCGATCCCACAGTGATCCCATCATTACCCCACTGTTATCCCATAGTGATCCCATTGCTGTTCTCCCCCAGGTGAGTACGGGCTGCGGAACAAGCGCGAGGTCTGGCGCGTCAAGTTCCCTCGCCCCATCCCCATTATCCCATAGTGATCCCATTGAGATCCCACTGTTACCCCATCATTACCCCACTGTTACCCCATTGTTCCCCATTGTTACCCCAGGTGAGTACGGGCTGCGGAACAAGCGCGAGGTCTGGCGCGTCAAGTTCCCTCGCCCCATCCCCATTATCCCATAGTGATCCCATAGCGATCCCCCTGTTATCCCATTGCTGTTATCCCATAGTGATCCCATTGCTGTCCCCCAGGTGAGTACGGGCTGCGGAACAAGCGCGAGGTCTGGCGCGTCAAGTTCCCTCGCCCCATCCCCATTATCCCATAGTGATCCCATAGCGATCCCACAGTGATCCCATTGTTCCCCTGCTGTTATCCCATAGTGATCCCATTGCTGTTATACCCCAGGTGAGTACGGGCTGCGGAACAAGCGCGAGGTCTGGCGCGTCAAGTTCCCTCGCCCCATTCCCATTGTCCCATAGTGATCGCACAGTGATCCCATTGTTACCCCATCATTACCCCGCTGTTATCCCATTGTTCCCCATAGTGATCCCATTGCTGTTATACCCCAGGTGAGTACGGGCTGCGGAACAAGCGCGAGGTCTGGCGCGTCAAGTTCACCCTGGCCAAGATCCGCAAGGCGGCGCGGGAGCTGCTCACGCTGGACGAGAAGGATCCGCGCAGACTCTTTGAGGGTCAGAGCCCACCCCGACCCCATCCCCTGCCCCATTCCCGACCTGATCCCTGCCCCATCCCCTGCCCCATTCCTGACCCCATTCCCTGCTCCGATCCCTGCCCCGTTCCCAGTCCCGTTCCCTGCCCCATTCCCAACCCCATTGTGGGGTCCATTCCCAGCCCCATTCCCTGCTCCATTCCCAACCCCGATCCCTGCCCCATTCCCAGCCCCGTTCCCAACCCCATTCCCTGCCCCATTCCCAACCCGATCCCAGCCCCAGCCCAACCCCAATCCCAACCCCCATCCCGGCCCCATTCCTGACCCCCATTCCCAACCCTATTCCCGACCCCGATGCTGGCCCCATTCCTGACCCCCAACCCAGCCCCAATCCCAACCCCATTCCCAATCCCACTCTCAGCTCCATTCCCAGCTCCATTCCCATTGTTACCCCGTTGTTCTCCCACTGTTCTCCCACTGTTCTCCCACTGTTCTCCCACTGTTCTCCCACTGTTCTCCCACTGTTATCCCACTGTTATCCCATTGTTACCCTGTTGTTATCCCACTGTTATCCCATCGTCACCCCATTGTTCTCCCGCTGCTCTCCCATCGTTACCCTATTGTTATCCCACTGTTATCTCATCATTCCTCCCCCATTCTCCCCTTGTTACCCCATTGTTACCCTGCTGTTACCCCGTCATTACCCCATCATTCTCCCATCACTCTCCCATCGTTACCCTGCCGTTATCCCACCATTACCCCACCATTATCCCACTGTTATCCCATCCCTCTCCCATCATTCTCCCATTGTTACCCCACCATTACCTCATTGTTCCCCCATTATTCCCCCACCATTATCCCACCATTATCCCATCATTATCCCATCATTATCCCATCATTATCCCACCATTATCCCACCATTATCCCACCATTATCCCATCATTATCCCACCGTCGCCCGCTGCGGGTCCCGCAGGGAACGCGCTGTTGCGGCGCCTGGTGCGCATCGGGGTGCTGGACGAGGGCAAGATGAAGCTGGATTACATCCTGGGGCTCAAGATCGAGGACTTCCTGGAGCGCCGCCTCCAGACCCAGGTCTTCAAGCTGGGCCTGGCCAAGTCCATTCACCACGCGCGGGTGCTCATCCGCCAGCGCCACATCCGGTGGGTGCCCCATTGACACCCTATGGGTGCTCCATTGATACCCTATGGGTGCTCCATTGATACCCTATGGGGGCCTCCATTGATACTCTATGGGTGCTTCCATTGATACCCTATGGGTGCCTCCATTGATACCCTATGGGTGCTCCATTGATACCCTATGGGTGCCCCATTGATACCCTATGGGGGCCTCCATTGACACCCTATGGGGGCCCCCACTGACACCCAATTGGTACCACCTTAGCACCCTATGGAGTCCCCCATAAACACCCTATGGGTGCTCCTTTAGGGTTCCCCCCCCATCAATGGTACCTTCCACTGTGCCCCTTAGCATTACCTGGCCCATTCCATTCCCCTCCCTCCCGGGGGTGTTTTTGAGCTGAATTCCACCGTTTCTGGGCATTTTTAAATGATGTTTTTTCATGCTCCATCCTTACCTATACCCATAGGGACCCCCCCATCATATACAGGGGTAAGGGTACCCCTATGCCATTAAAACCCCCCTTATCCCCTTAGAACCCCCCCCATCAATGGTACCTCCCACAGTGCCCCTTAGCATTACCTGGCCTGTTCCATTCCCCTCCCTCGGGGGGGGGGCGGGTGTTTTTGGGCTGAATTCCCCCGTTTTTGGGCGTTTTGAACCGGGGTTTTTTGGGGTGCCCCCCCCGCGGCAGGGTCCGGAAGCAGGTGGTGAACATCCCCTCCTTCGTGGTGCGCTTGGACTCCCAGAAACACATCGACTTCTCCCTGCGCTCCCCCTATGGCGGCGGCCGGCCCGGCCGCGTCAAGCGCAAGAACGCCAAGAAGGGGCAGGGCGGGGCCGGCGCCGGAGAGGACGAGGAGGAGGATTAAGCCACGCCCCCTTCCCCTCTTGGGCCACGCCCCCTTCCCCATTTGGCCACGCCCAGTCCATCCGCGACATTGGCCCCGCCCACCCCTCCCGCCGGCGGGGAGGTGAGCGGCGTTTGGGAGCGTTTTGGGGCGTTTTAAGGCGTTTTGGGGCGTTTCAGGGCGTTTTTTGGGGGGGATTAGGGGGTTTTGGGGTGTTTTATGGGGGAATTGGGGCGTTTTGAGGCTTTTTTGGAGGATTTAGGGAGTTTTGGGGAGGATTGGGGAGTTTTGAGGCTTTTTTCAGGAATCGGGGCGTTTTGGGGTGTTTTTAAGGAGGGAATTGCGGGGTTTCAATGCTTGTTTGGAGGAATTGGGGTGTTTTAAGCCGTTTTGGGGGGAATTGGGGGGTTTTGGGAAGATTTAACGCACTTTTTGGGGGAGTTTGTGCGTTTTGGGGCGTTTTAAGGCGTTTTGGGGGAATGGGGTCTTTTTCGGGTGATTTAAAGCATTTTGTGGGGGAATTGAGGCGTTTTAATGGGGAATTGGGGTGGTTTAGGGGGAATTTGGGAGGTTTTAAGGGGGGATTTGGGTATTTTGGGGTGTTCGGGGTTTAGGTTGGGATTGGGACATTTTTGGAGGGAATTGGGGCATTTTGGGGGGAATTGGGGCATTTTGGGTGTGTTTTGGGGTGCAGTTGGGTTGGGGGAGCACTGATGGGGGCCTCCCATGATGGCAGCACTGGGCGCTGAACCCCATTGATGACGCCTGTGCCCCTCCCCCAGGGCCATTGACCCCGGGGGGGGGTCTGAGGGGGCCCAAGGGAGGGGGTTTGGGGGGAGGGGCATTGGGGGCTATGGGCGGGTCCCCACTAATCCCCTCCCCCCTCTTTATGTCCACAGGTCCCAGTTCCTGCAATGGGGAGGGGTTTGATAATAAATGGATTGATCCCATTGGTGTCTATTGTGATGGGGGGGGAATATTGGGGGGAGAACCCCAATTGTAAGGGGTTTGGGGGTCCAGAGCCCCATTTGGGGGTTAAAACCCCTTTTTTGGTGTGTTTTGGGGGTCCAGACCCCAATTAGGGGTTCAAAACACCATTTTTGGGGTGTTTGGGGGGTCCAGAGTCCCATTTGGGGGTTAAAATCCCTTCTTAAGGGTGTTTTGGGTGTCCAGAGGCTATTTTGGGGTCCAAATCCCCTTTTTTGGAAGTCCAGACCCCTATTTTGGGCTTAAAACCCCTTTTTTGGGGTGTTTTTTGAGTCCAGAACCCAATTTGGGTATCAAAATACCTTGGGGGGTGTCCAGACCTCATTTTGGGGTAAAAAGCCCTTATTTTGAGTGCTTGGGGTTGGAGACCGCTATTTTGGTGTCCAGAACCCTTTCTTGGAGTGTTTTGGGGGTCCAGACATGCATTTTGGGGTCCAAACCCTTTATTTGGGGTGTTTTGGGGTTGCAGACCCTGATTTCAGGACCAAAACACCTTATTTGGCGTGTTTGGGGTGTCCAGACCTCGTTTTTGGGTCGAAACCCCTTATTTTGGGTGTTCATGGGGTCCAGACCCACATTTTTGGGGTCAAATCCCCTTTTGGGGGTGGGGGGCGGTCGCAGAGAAGGTTGGCCTTGCCACACTCAATATGGCGGCCCCCATAGGCCGACGCTGTACGTCAAGATGGCGGCGCCCACCGGGCGGATGCTATACGCAAAGCGCGGCCGTGCCCGGGTGCCGGAAGCTTCGGGTCACGTGCATGGGGCATCAACCAATAGGAGCGCAGATAACGGGCGGAAGCGAGCGGTGGTAACGCCTCTCGGGCTGTTGGCGGGAGAACGCGGCGGCAAGAGGTGAGGTGGGGACTCCGGGGAGCCCCATTGCGCCCCATAGGGACCCATAGAGCCCTATAGGGACACACACGGACCCATAGGGACACACAGACCCCATAGAACCTCGTAGCGACCCATAGAGCCCCATAGACCCCCATAGGCCCCATAGGTTCCCATAGAGCCCCATACATCCCCAGAGATCCCCATAGAGCCCATAGCCCCCCATACATTCCCAGAGATTCCCATAGAGCCCCGTAGGCCCTCATACTCCCCATAGCCCCCCATTGACCCCCATAGCCGCCATAGTCCCCCATTCACCCCCATTGCACCCCATTCCCCCATTCACCCCCATTGCCCCCATCCGTCCCCATTCCCCACATTCACTCCCATTCACCCCCATTGCCCCCCATTTACCCCATTCCCCCCATTCACCCCCATTCCCCCCATTCACCCCATTGTCCCCATTGCCCCATACCCCCATTCACCCCCATAGCCCCCATTCCCCCCATAGCCCCCATTCCCCCCCATAGCCCCCCATTCCCCATTCCCCCCATTAACCCCCATTGACCTCCATTGCCCCCCATTTCCCCCATTGACCCCCATTGCCCCCCTCCCAGATGGACCCGGAGCCGCCCCCCCATGGCCCCCCCCGTCCCCAAGCGGCCCCGCGCGGAGCCCTCGGGCGCCCCCTCGCGGTTCGAGGCGGAGCTGGCGGCGCTGGCGCGGAGCGAGAACGAGGCCGAGGGGGCGGGGCTGGAGGAGGCCCCGCCCCCCAGCGACAGCCGGGACCCGGGTGAGGAACAAGGGGGGGGGCTATGGGATCTGTGGGGTTCTATGGGGATCTATGGGGCTTTATGGAGAGCTGTGGGTTTCTATGGGGCTCGGGGCTCTATGGTTTTCTATGGGGATCTATGGGGATCTTTGGGCTCTGGGTGTATGGGGCTGTATGGGGTTCTATAGGCTCTATGGGCTCTATCAGGCTCTATGGGGCGCTATGCTTTTTATGGTCTCTATGGGTCTCTGTGGTATCTATGGGTCTCTGATCTTTATGAGTTTCTATGGGTCTCTATAGTCTATGATTTCTATGGGTCTCTGTGGTCTCTGGGGCTCTGTTCTCTATGGGTCTCTATAGGGCTCTATGGTCTCTGTGGGTCTCTATGGGTCTCTGTTCTCTATGGGGCTCTGTTCTCTACGGGTCTCTATGTTCTCTATAATCTCTATGGGGCTCTGTGGGTTCTATGGGGTTCTGTTCTCTATGGGTTTGTATGGGTTTTTGTGTTCTCTATGGGTCTCTATGGTCTCTATGGGTCTCTATGGTCTCTATGGGGCTCCCCACAGGCAGCCTGTTCGTGGGGGAGGTGAACCCCAAGTGGCGGCGCCCGCCCCTCCCCGAGACCCCCCCGGAGACCCTCTGCTTCCTGCAGCTCGACATCGACCACTATGTGGGTCAGTACCTGTGGGACCCCATAGCACCCGTTGACACCCCATAGAACCCCATAGCACCCATTGACCCCCATTGACCCCCATTGACACCCCATAGAACCCCTCATAGCACCCATTGACACCCATTGACACCCCATAGAACCCCTCATAGCACCCATTGACACCCCATAGCACCCATTGACCCCCCCATAGCACCCATTCCCCCCATAGCCCCCATTAACCCCATAGCCCCCATTCCCCCCATTGACCACCCATTGACCACCCACTGACACCCATTAACCCCATAGCCCCCACTGATACCATTGACACCCATTAACCCCATAGCCCTCTTTGACACCCATTAACCCCATAGCCCCCATTCCCCCCATAGCCCCCATTAAGCCCATAGCCCCCATTGACACCCATAGCCACCATAGCCCCCATTGATACCATTGACACCCATTAACGCCATAGCCCCCATTAACCCCATAGCCCCCATGGGTGCCCACCCTCTCTCTCCCTCCTCCCCACAGGGTCCCCATTACCGGGGATGCCGGGGGCCACCCAGGGCCCCGTCCCCATCCTGCGCCTTTTTGGGGTCACCGAGGGGGGGAACAGCGTCTGCCTGCACCTGCACGGCTTCGCCCCCTACTTCTATGTGCTGGCACCCACAGGTGAGCATGGGGGGGGCACCCCAAAACCACCCCCCCAGCACCCCAAAACCCCCCCTGTACCCCCATTGCAATGGCAGCATCCAGGGATTCTCCATTGGCTCGTATAGGGTTGTGAATTGAGTGATGCTGGTGCATTCAGTGCCCCCCCCATGGGTTTATGGGGTGCAGGACCCCCCCATATACATCAATGGGGTGCAGGGACCCCCCCTGCCACCCCCTATTCCATCAGCATCATGTGGGGATTCTCCATTGACTCGTATAGGGTTGTGCACTGAGTGATGCTGGTGCATTCAGTGCCCCCCCCATGGGTTTATGGGGTGCAGGACCCCCCCATATACATCAATGGGGTGCAGGGACCCCCCCTGACACCCCCTATTCCATCAGCATCATGTGGGGATTCTCCATTGGCTCGTATAGGGTTGAGCACTGAGTGATGCTGGTGCATTCAGTGCCCCCCCCATGGGTTTATGGGGTGCGGGGACCCCCCCATAGACACCAATGGGGTGCGGGGCCCCCCCCCATTGACCCCCCCATGGGCCCATGGCAGGAGTGGGGGTGCAGCACCTGCAGGAGCTGAGCCAGGAGCTGGACTCGGCGCTGCTGCGGGAGCTCCGGGGCAGCCGGGAGGGGCTGAGCCGGGCGGTGCTGGGGCTGGAGCTGTGCCACAAGCAAAGTGGGTGCCCCCCCCCCTTAATACACCCCAATGCACCCCAATACCCCCCCTTAAACACCCCCAATGTACCCCTAAACCACCCCATGGCAACCCAAAAACACCTCTGCTACCCCAAAACCACCCCCAAACACCCCCCAATGCACCCCAAAACCATCCCTGGTACCCCAATACCCCCCTTAAACACACTCCAAAACCACCCCATGGTACCCTAATACCACCCCTGGTACCCAATACCAACCCATGGTACCCCAATACCCCCCCCTTAAACACACCCCAATGCACCCCAAAACCACCCCCAAACACCCCCCAATGCACCCCAAAACCAACCCCCCTTAAACACCTTCCAATGCACCCCAAAACCACCTCTGGTCCAAACCAACCCAACCCCAAACCCCCCCAAACACACCCCAACACCCCAAAACCACCCCCAAACACCCCCCAACACCCCAAAACCAACCCCCCTTAAACACCTCCCAATGCACCCCAAAACCACCCCTGGTACTCCAATACCCCCCCCTTAAACACCCCCCATGGTACCCCAACACCCTTCCGGTACCCCAAAACCACCCCCCCGTTCAATCCCTATGTGGGGATTCTTTATTGGCTCGTATAGGGGTTGTGCTCCTGCCCCCCCCCCCCCAAACCCCCCCCAACCCCCCCCAACCCCCCCCAATGGGGGTGTCCTTGGGGTGCCCCTGACCCCCCCCCCCCCCCAGGTCTCCTGGGGTACCAGGGGGCGCAGCTGAGCCCCTTTGTGAAGGTGACGCTGGCGCTGCCCCGCTTGGTGCCCCCCGCCCGGCGCCTCCTGGAGCAGGGCCTGCGCTGGGGGGGGCTCGGGGTGCACCCGGCGGCCCCCTTTGAGAGCAACGTGGACTTCGAGATCAGGTACGGGGGCACCCACCCCATAGAGTGACCCCATAGACCCCATACACCTCATATCCCATACACCCCATATACCTACATAGAGCCCCATAGACTGAGCCCCATAGAGTGAGCCCCATAGATCCCATACACCTCCATAGAACCCCATAGAGTGAGCCCCATAGACCCTCATACACCCCATACACCTCCATAGACACCCATACACCTACACACACCTCCATAGAGCCCCATAGACTGAGCCCCATAGACCCCCATACACCCCATACACATCCAAAGAACCCCATACACCCCCATAGAGCCCCATAGACCTCCATAGGCCCCCATAGAACTCCATAGAACCCCATAGACCCCCATAGACCCCCATACCACACACCATAGAACCCCATATACCCCTATACCCCCCATATCCCCCCATACCACCCCATAGACCCCCATACACCCCATAGACCCCCATAGAACCCAATAGACCCCCATACCCCCCCATGTACCCCCATATCCCCCCCCATAGACCCCCCATATCCCCCCATGCCCCCCCCAGGTTCATGGTAGACTCCGGCCTCGTGGGCTGCTCCTGGGTGGAGGTGCCGGGGGGGCTGTTCCAGCTGCGGGGCTCCCCCCCCGCCGTGGCCCCCGTGTCCCGGTGCCAGCTGGAGGCCGACGCGGGCTGGGGGGGGCTCCGGTGCCACCCCCCCGAGGGGCCTTGGCTGGGGCTGCCCCCCCTGCGCCTGCTCAGCCTGGACATAGAGTGTGAGGGGCGCAAGGGTAAGGGGGGACAGTGGGGGGCAATGGGGGGGTAATGGTGGTCAATGGGGGTGATGGGGGTCAATGGGGGTGATGGGGGTAATGGGGGGGAATGGGGTAATGGGGGTGATGGGGGAATGGGGGTGATGGGGTAATGGGGGTGATGGGGGAATGGGGGTGATGGGGGTGATGGGGGAATGGGGGTGATGGGGGTAATGGGGGTGATGGGGGTCAATGGGGGAATGGGGGTGATGGGGGTAATGGGGGTGATGGGGAATGGGGGTAATGGGGGGAATGGGGGTGATGGGGGAATGGGGGGGAATGGGGGTGATGGGGGGAATGGGGGTGATGGGGGGAATGGGGGTGATGGGGGAATGGGGGTAATGGGGTAATGGGGGGAATGGGGGTCAATGGGGGAATGAGGGGAATGGGGTAATGGGGGTGATGGGGGCAATGGGGTGATGGGGGGAATGGGGGCATGGAGGTACCATTTGATGCCATTGGCTACCATTGGTTGCCATTGGTTACCATTGGGTACTATTGGATGCCATTGGAATGTCATTGGGTGCACCCACCACCCCCCACCCAACCCCATTGATCTCCATTGGTCTCCATTGCTCTCCATTGCTCTCCATTGCTCTCCATTGACCTCCAATGATCTCCATTGACCTCCAATGATCTCCATTGGTCTCCATTGACCACCATTGATCTCCATTGACCTCCGTTGCTCCCCATTGACCTCCATTGCTCCCCGTTGCCCCCCATTGGTGCCGATGGTGCCCAGGGGTGTTCCCGGAGGCGGAGCAGGACCCCGTGATCCAGGTGGGGGTGGCGGTGCAGCGCCACGGGGAGCCCGAGCCCTTCCTGCGCCTGGTGCTGGTGCTGGGCTCCTGCGCCCCCATCCCCGGGGCCACCGTGCTCAGCTTCCGGAGGGAGACGGACCTGCTCCAGGTCAGCAGGGGGGGGGACCCATTGATACCCATTGATTCCCATTGAGACCCATTGAGACCCATTGAGAGCCATTGAGACCCATTGATCCCCATTGACTCCCATTGAGCCCCATTGATTCCCATTGAGACCCATTGACACCCATTGAGACCCATTGATCCCATTGAGAGCCACTGAGACCCATTGAGACCCACTGAGACCTATTGAGACCCATTGATTCACATTGAGCCCCATTGACCCCACTGAGCCCCACTGAGCCCCATTGAGCCCATTGAGCCCCACTGAGCCCCACTGAGCCCCATTGAGCCCATTGACCCCCATTGAGCCCCACTGAGCCCCACTGACCCCATTGACACCATTGACCCCCATTGACACCCATTGAGCCCCACTGAGCCCATTGACCCCATTGAGCCCCACTGAGCCATTGACCCCATTGAGCCCATTGACACCATTGAGCCCATTGAGCCCATTGAGCCCATTGAGCCCATTGAACCCATTGAGCCCCACTGAGCCCATTGATGCTCATTGAGCCCAAAGCCCCATTGAGCTCATTGACTCCATTGAGCCCATTGACCCCATTGAGCCCATTGACCCCATTGACCCCATTGAGCCCATTGAGCCCATTGACCCATTGACCCCATTGACCCCATTGAGCCCATTGACCCCATTGAGCTCATTGACTCCATTGACCCCATTGAGCCCATTGACCCCATTGAGCCCATTGAGCCCATTGACCCATTGACCCCATTGACCCCATTGACCCCATTGATCCCATTGAGCCCATTGACCCCATTGAGCCCATTGATCCCCATTGACCCCATTGACCCCATTGATCCCCATTACCCCATTGCCCCATTGATACCATTGACCCCCCTGACCCCATTGATCCCATTGACCCCACTGACCCCACTGATCCCATTAACCCCACTGACCCCATTGATCCCATTCCCAGTCCTGGGCTGAGCTCGTGCGGATCCTGGACCCCGACATCATCACCGGTTACAACATCCAGAACTTCGACCTCCCCTACCTGATGCAGCGCGCCAAGGTGCTCCAGGTGAGTGACCCATAGCCTGCCCCATAGCGACCCATAGCGTGCCTCATAGTGACCCACAGCCTGCCCCATAGCGACCCATAGCCTGCCCCATAGCCCCCATAACCCCCATATCCCCCATACCCCCCTATACCCCCATAGACCCCCATACCCCCCATAGACCCCCATAGCCCCCATACCCCCATACCCCCATAGACCCCTATAAACCCCATACCCCCCATAGACCCCTATAACCCCCATACACCCCTATAACCCCCCATAACCCCATATCCCCCCCCCAGGTCCACTCCTTCCCATACCTGGGCCGCATCCGGAACCAGCGCTCGGAGCTGCGGGAGGCGACTTTCCAGTCCCGGCAACTGGGACGGAGGGAGGGGAAGATACTGGGAGCGGAGGGGAGGGTGGTACTGGACATGCTGCAGGTATTATGGGATGGATGGGGTATTATGGGATGGGGTGTGGGGTATTATGGGATGGGGAGGGGGTATTATGGGATGGGATATGGGGTATTATGGGATGGATGGATGGGGTATTATGGGATGGGATATGGGAGGGGAGGGGAGGGTGGTATTGGATGGGGGGGGTATTATGGGATGCGATGGGGTATTATGGGATGCGATGGGGTATTATGGGATGGGGTATGGGGTATTATGGGATGCGATGGGGTATTATGGGATGGGATGTGGGGTATTATGGGATATGGGGTATTATGGGATGGGATGTGGGGTATTATGGGATGGGATATGGGGCATTATGGGATGGATGGGTGTCCCTGTGTTGCCTTATGAGTCCCGCTATGGGTCCCTATGGGTCTCTATGTGTCCCTATGGGTCCCTGTGTTCCCTATGGGTCCCCTATGGGTCTCTGTGGGTCGCAGGTGCTGCTCCGCGAGCACAAGCTCCGCTCGTACACGCTCAACGCCGTCAGCGCCCACTTCCTGCAGGAGCAGAAGGAGGACGTGCCCCACGGCATCATCAGCGACCTGCACGTGAGCCCCACACCCCATACACCCCATAGACCCCATAGACCCCATAGACCCCCATAGACACCATAGACCCCATAGACCCCATAGACCCCATAGACCCCATAGAGCCCATAGACCCCATACCCCATAGACCCCATAGACCCCATACCCCATAGACCCCATACCCCATAGACCCCATACCCCATACACCCCATACCCCATAGACCCCAAACCCCATACACCCCATAGACCCCATAGACCCCATACCCCATATCCCATACCGCACACCCCATATCCCTATACCCCATAGACCCCATAGCCCCCATTACCCCCCTCTCTCCCCGTACCCCCGCAGCGCGGCTCGGCGCAGTCCCGCCGCCGCCTGGCTCTCTACTGCCTCAAGGACTCGGTGCTGCCCCTGCGGCTGCTGCAGCGCCTCTCGGTGCTCGTGACCCAGGCCGAGGTGGCGCGGGTCACGGGGGTGGGGCTGGGCACCCTCCTGTGCCGCGGCCAGCAGGCCAAGGTGGTGGCCCAGCTCCTGCGGCAGGTACCAATGGGAGCAATGGGAGCAATGGGAGCAATGGGAGCAATGGGGCAATGGGGCAATGGGGAGCAATGGGAGCAATGGGAGCAATGGGAGCAATGGGGCTATGGGGCTATGGGGTCACGGGGGTGGGGCTGGGCACCCTCCTGTGCCGCG